GGGAAAAAATAAGAACCAAGATGCATCATGTAAAGGTACAAGTTCCCAATGAGAAATGTAAGTGTGTTGTATACCTAAAATGTACCAATAAAAGGATTTAAGTAATAAAAAATAAATAAATACATAAGTTGAGTGTGTTGAGTATTGTGTCTCGGCTATGAGGAAAGTGAGTAAGACATGACCAAGCCTTCCAGCACATAAACCTTCAGGGAATAAACCACAGCAATAGTAAAGAAGGCATTCCCCAGGCCAAAGACATGGGCTCTCTTCACTCCTGAGATTGACTTGCCCAGAAGGGATCCCAGGATTGAGGGAGGAAACATCCTATTTTTTTGGAAGCTAAAATTTTGTTTTCCAGAAATAAAATGACATGAAATTTCTTGAATTTGATGTTGCAGCCTCAAGTGAAGAGTTGGTTACATGGTCAGGAGACCTAGGCAGTCACGAAGCATCAGGGCCTAAGCAGAACTCTCACTGGTTTGACATTCTGATGGTGCCATCTTGAAACTCTTCATAATTTCTAAACAAGGAGCCCCACATTTTTATTTTGCACTTATGTGCAAATCCTGTAGCCCATCCTACTACCATGCATGCCTGCTGTATCCCCTCATGGCATAAGTTTGAAGACTTTTCTATCTTTGGGGAAATCTTCACCAAGAGAGCTTGAGCAGTTCATGAGAACATTACCCATTGGCCAAGCCACACGAACCATGACCACCTTGGTTCACTTATGCTATTATATTTGCATGATGCTCCTTCACCAAGGGGGCTGTCACATACATCATTTTTTTTTATGAAAATAGAGCTAAATATAAATTTAATATGGTTTATGATTAAATGAAACACGAAACCCATAGTGGCACATAGTAAAATTGGCTGAGATGAAAAGGAGGCTCCTCGTGGAGCCATGTTTAGGTGGATTTCAGTGGAGAAGGCTCAGAAACTTCTGGGAGCTCTGTGGGTCACAGCCTTCCCAGCCTCCTCTCAGTGACATGTCCTTGCCCAGCACGGGCAGCCTGGAGCATTTCTCCTACAGAGTCAGCCCCTGCTTGTTCCTTGGCCTTTCATTTGGACAGGTCTTCAGAAGTCAACAATCAGTGTGGCATCTTTGTATATATTTGGAACTGAACAGTTTGCTTTCAAAGTTGTCAAATCCTGACATTTGTGATGTCTCTGCAGTTTGTTCCTGGGATCTTGGGGGTCATAAAGACTCCTTTATACAGGAAGGACACTTTTTTCCAAGGTTCTGAAACTTGCTTGGCTCCAGGGTGAGGCTTCCACAGGCATAGTTCATACAGGCCGTACCCATACCAAGGATGGCGAAGGTACAAGTGTGACCAGGAGCCAGGAGACTGAGGCACATCCTCCCTCCTACTTGGTCTTCTCTGTGCCCACAGCCTCTTCTGTGCTGTTAACTGCAGTCTTCCTTCTCTGTCACCTCACAGGGTACAGTCATCACACACCCAGAGTCTGTGTCCAGACACAGGGCAGAGGGCCTACTGAGCAAGACAAGCCAGCCGCCCTTGCTCCTTCAAGGAACTGCAACAAATAACAGTAGCAAGATTTGATTAAGTGCTTCTGGGCATGCTTTCTGATTATCCTACAGTAAGTGTGCATTCCTTCTGTAACCTTGTTTTAAAAGATAAGGAATAACAATTCTCATAAGTGCTATAAATGTGTAAGATGCTCTGTGTACGAAGCCATACCTGTTAGAATTCCTTCAAGATATTAAAGAAATAGCAATCTTCACTAGATTGCGCCTCCTAGTACACAGGTAGCAAACATGCTCTCTGTAGGTTTGACTCCATCTCCCCTACTTACCAACTGGTAGAATAGTACAATAGTTCCTGCCTCTTAGGAGTGTGTGTGTGTGTGTGTGTGTGTGTTCTCAGTACTGGGGGTTGAACCAAGGCCCTTCATCCTGAGCTATATCCCCAATCCTTTTAATCTTTAGACAGGGTCTCACCAAGTTGCTAAATTGCCCAGGCTTCAGCCTCTCAGAATGCTGGGATTACAGGCAGTGCCACTGCAGCTGGCTCTTCTGAGGCACTTTCAGAAGATTCAGTGAGATAGTGAAGAGGAAGCACCTGCCATGGGTACACATTCATCAAGTGTTAGCTATGATTGTGGGTCCCTCTCTTTCTCTTTCCTCACCCTCTCCTTTCCCCTTCCTCTTCATCAACACCACCCCTCAGTAAGTCCCAGCTTACTAACATTTGAGTTTCGAACTTTCACAGGTGTACAGTGTAAGACTCACTTTGGCAGCTTACAAATGAATCTGACTTGCGAACAATTCTCCTGGAACCCAGCTCATTCATAAGTCAGGGATTTACTGTATCTGAACACTGCTGTCAGCCACCCAGGCTGAGACCAGTCAGGGTTTCTCAAACTTTAAGTGACTCAGGGAGCTTATCAAAATGCAGACCATGCTTCAGAAGTCTGAGGTGGAGACTGAAATTCCGAATTTCTAACAAGGTCCTGGACCACACTTTGAGATATGAGAGTGGAGCTGAATTAATGTCCTTTTAGAATTTCTGGGAACAAAATGCCCTTAGATGTATTCAGGTATTACTTTTCGTAAGGATTCTCTTCTTTCTTGGGTAGAATTATGTTATCAGTAAGCATAATCACCTATTTCAACATGGAAGACCCTGTGCTGCTTCTGGAACATCAGGCATTTGTCACAATACCTCTACCCGTAAGGAGTTTCTATTTGACATATCAATTTACAAATACAGACGACCACACAGACCCTATTCTTGGTGCTAAAGAGGGCTACAGACAACAAATGAGAGCAAGACTCCAGGCTCTATTTTAAATTCTGTAAAGAACTAAAGCTCAAATACTTACTTTGAAATGCTGAGGATGAACATGTGCTCCAGATGCAGGATTGCATTAATTAGCCTTAACTTTTAATGTGAGAGTCATGTCTGTTTACATAAATATACACTCCCACAGGATATGTGATGTCCCAGGGTATTGTCAAGTGTTCATAGTTATAAGTTTTTCTCATTCCTTATTAGGGGAGGAAGTATGGGTTGAGATACAGAAGTCATCTGGAACATAAATACACAGGCTGGCAGCTGCACCACACCATTGTATTCATTGTTTAGGGAACATGTTCATCTCATTTGACTGGATTTTGTGGGGCTTTCAACTCCTGCTTTACTCCATTTGAAGATTATTATTTGCTATGGAAACAGTGATGTCAAATTGATGTGGGTGGGGTGCAGGGCCATGCATAAACACAAAATAGTTCATCCCAAAGAGTGCAAGTTATTATTAGGTTGAGGAGATGCCAACTGAGGGGGTCACCCCTCCCAAGCCCTGTGTTTCAGATGAAACAGTCTGGCAGGCTATGGGGCGGCACACTTAGGAAACAGTGTCTGTTTTAAATAGTGTGAGTGTCTCAGGATAGGTGTATTGGCCCTGCCAAAACAGGAGGTGATTTGATGGAGGTGGTGAAGGAGCGAACTGCATTAGTGATCAAGTGTTAATTTCAGGAATGACTATTGCGCTAGGAAGCAAGAACTCCTTAGGAGAGAATAAGGAATTCTTATGAAGTGGAGACACTTTGGAATGGGCATACCTGGGAAATGGGGCTTTCTGGAGATTGTTAGGTTTCAGTTGAAGTTGACCAAACTTCCATGGAAAGCCATGGGGGCAAAATGAGACCTTTCAGCTGGTGAGGTGTAAATAGGACTGCCCAATACTATCAGCTTGCCTGATTAGCACTATCAGGTGCTAATTCCATTCCAGTCATCCTATCTTTTGAACCTCCAATAAACTGTCAGTCCTCTCTCGTGGATGTAGAAAAAGACTTGAAGGTTGGTGAGCCCTGGCTCAAGGCCATCATAAAGTGACAGAGCAAGAACTTGAGCCCATTTTGACTCCAGAATCTACTTTCTGAGCTAGCACACTATGTCCTTAAGGAAAAATATTGAACTGGAACTTTATGGTTCAAATCTATGGGGCTAAAAGTACTTGATATCACTAGATCCATGAAACACATCATGGCTTGGTGGTAGAGGGCGCCCTGGGGCAGGAGAGAGGTCAGGCTCCCTCTGCTGGTTTTCACTAGCAACAGCAGTCAAATCAGTGTATGCAATGATTCCATTGCTATCATTTACAAGGCATCTCCTCAGGTTCTGGGCCTCTCCCAGACACCGAGCTGGACCATAACTTCACTAAGATGCTGAGACTACTGACTCCACTAGCAGATCAAGAGGACAGAGACATGACAGCTTCCAAGGATGTACTCCAAGTCACCCAGCTGGTAAGAGGCCAAGTTCTTTGGCCACCAGAAGTTAGGTCTTGCCTACTCTGCTCCAATTCATGTGAGCAGAGACCTGGTGACAGCAGGTGAGTGTAAGGCCAAGGACCAGGCCTACCAGGACAATATCAGGAGGTCCTTGAACATTGCTCTTGGAGAAGGTTGAGGCAGGCTCCATTCTTCTCCCTGGCCATAGTCTTCCTCTCAGCACACAGGACCTCCCTTCTGTGATTTGCCGATGAATACATCATTTGCCTCTGCATTTGTTCTCCAAAGCATTATGGAGTGTCTCCTTTGTATGGAACTTGGGACCTTTAGTGAGGGTCAGTAGGACCCGAGTACCCCTTAAGGGCAAGGTCTGGAAAGGAAGACATCACATCACAAATGCTGGCTTCATCCAAATCTTTCTGTAGAAGTGAAAAATTCAAATAAGGAAAAAATAATTCAGAACAGACACCATAGATGGAAAACCTCCATGTAGAAGTTCATGATCTTGCAGTTCTAATGGCATCTGGATCCAAGAGGGAAAGGGAAGTGGAGCCCACAGCTGCAAACCCAAGTGATGCTTGGTTGCTATTTAAATTACATAAAGTACCTATATTAGAAAATATCCAAGAAATAAAACTCAAGAACTGGAGCAAAGTAAGGGGAGAAATTTAATTTTTCAGCCAGTCTTTAGTCACAGAATGTTGGTTTGAGCACAACTGCAGGGGGCACCATTCACATCAAAGGCCTCGTGAATTTAACCTGGGTACATCTTGGAAACATTTAGGGAGACTTTAAACATTGTTAATGTTTTAAAATCTCTTCCAGATAGTCTATTTTAATTGGTCTAAACAGCAGCCTGGGTTGAAATTTTTAAACTGCCTAGATGATTCTAATCATCTAAGCAGCCATGTTTGAGAACCATTGAGTCAGATTATTCTGTGAATGGTCCTCCTGGGGACATGTGGAATATAATCTACCTAATCCTTCAATTAGCCCTGCCCACCCCAGTTGGCCCTATACAATCTCCAGTGACCCAAACAAGCTGGTAGAAATCTAAATACATAGTGTTTTGCCTTTGATATTATGTTTTCTCTTGGATTGGGATTGGAATTTATGAGAATGTAGAGACTGACCCTTTGAAAGATCTCATACTTCCTGCTTCTTTCTAAGGAATGAGGGAGTGGTGAGGATCTAATCCTATGGAAAATTGGGAATCTTTTCAACCTCAGCCTTGGAGGCTGCCCAACTCTGGTGCTGTGCCTGGGGTGAGCATGCTGTTTTGATCGCCTGACTGAGAGAGTGATTTAGGCTCTTGGAAGAATCTGGCTCATTTCCCTCGCTACCTAGGTCATTCCCTGGTTGTAAATCAGCCACCTTTAGCAGTTGCATTTTCCTTTCTCAGCCCAAAAGGGAACTGTGTCCTTTTTACTGAATTAGCAACTTAATTGCACCAAACATAGCTCTAATGCCCCAAAGATGTTGGGCAGCTCCCCAAGGTGTCTGGCTCCCCCTCTTCCTCTCCATCTAATCCTCCCAAAACCAAGGAGCAAGTTAAACTCTGGAAAATTCAACCTTATTAAATCACAGCCCTTGGAATGAACTTAACTTTATTTTGCATATGTCAATACCATCAAATCCTGCCATATGAATTCAATGTCACCAATCCTATAACAACTAATGGCCTTCAAAAGGTTGGCAGTGACCAAAAATGCCACAAAAATCCAGCGAAATGAGATCAAAATGTGACATAAACAAGTCCTTGGTGTCATGGTTTAGTCAAGAGCTTGCCTATTTTACAACTTAGATGCTCTGTAACTCATTGCTGCTGTCCTGCTGATAAGTACATCTGTCTTTCTAAAAGTACAAGTCAACTTTTTTGGCTAAAGCCTTACATCTGGCATGAATATTTATACTTGGCATTTCAAAGTTAGTATTTTTGCTTCAGCAGAGGGATTCAAAACAAATACTTAAGTTCCAAATTCTTGAGCAGATATTTAAATCCAGACTGAAGTAAGAGGAAAAAGAAGAGAGGAAGAGACAGAGAGACAGAGAGCTAAGTAATGAGCAGGCTGTTAGCTGCCTGCCCAATTCCTCGTCTATCCTGTGCCCTTTGAAACAGCTGTAACAGAAAATATTTTCCAGACTCCTTTGCAGCTTGATATGGCTAGAAAATATTCTGCCCAGTGAGGCAGAAGTAGAAATAGTCATGTCTTAATATCCATGCAGGAATGGCTCCATGAGTCCCAATAGTTACCCAAACACATGACCCTCAAACCCC